AGATTTGTGTTTAATCACTTAAAGGTTGAGCCATATACCTTCTTTCCTTCACCTTTCACTTCACACTTTCTCTTTACATTTCATTTTTCTCTCTTTTCTCTCTTCCCTCTCTAGAATACACCCACCAACCCTTATAAATTCCTTAATCCCTCCAAATCTATTAGAGCTTTGACCTTTGTGTCTTCATTAATATTGGAGAGCTGATCAAGGGCTATGTAGCATACGGTGGAGAACGGGTTTTGATGCCATTGATTTTGGAGCCCTTCTCATCTTTCCTTTCTAACACTTGAGGTATGGAGTTTCTTTGAGTTATATATATATATATATATATGCATATGATTTTAGCATGTCTTCCTTATTTTGCTATGATTTTGAGTAGAGGGTTTGAGATTTTAAATGTGAAACATTGGAAGTATTGAAAAGTGATTTTTATTATGACAAATATTAAATTAAATGGTTTTATAAACTTGTGAACCTCTTGGGAGTGTATGGAGGAAAATGTCTTGAAATAGAAGGAAAACCCCTTTTTACTCAAACCCTGGATTTGGGAAAGGTTAAGGAAAATTTGATTTTGTGAAAATTTATGCGATTGTTGGAAATGTCTTAAGAAAATGATGAAATTTCTTTAGTGTTGTGTTGATTGAGATATCCATGGGGTGGATGAGTTTTGTGTTAAGAAACTTACATGATAGCATGATTTTATATATGCTTGGACTATGAAAGGGAAATAAATGTGATTGTGAATATGAAATGGTATCATATGTCACATGGTATGGAAATTTGGAAGTGATTGGAAAAACATTGAATACTGCATTCTACCTTGAGAAAATGTTGAGAATTGTGGAAAATTGTATTATGAAAACTATATAATTGCATCTCACTTCATTCATTTTCATAGCTTTGAAATATTGTGCATTATATCCTACAACTTGGTGAATTCAATTTTCTACATGAATTATCTACAAGAATTATGGGCGACATTCTTACGTAAAGCTTCAATTGAAGTTCTTGCTAGCTTAATCCTTTCAATCCCCTCCAAATTCTCTACAATTCTTCTCTACTCTCTCTACAAGTGTTGCTTCTCTTTCCTTCTCTCAAAATTCAGCTCAAAATTTAAAAACAAATGAGTTCATAAACATATATCTCATACTTATAGGTTTGATTAAGTTAAGATAATTAAGTGAGATTAAAGTTAATTAATAAAACTTAGTTCTAATTAATTCTAATCATCTCTAATTGATTTATTCTAATTATTTTGATCTGAATCAAATTTTAATTAAACTTGCCATATGGTTCTAAATATTCCAACTAACCTATTAAACTAGTCAATTTTGATTTCTAAATCTGTTTAGGCTAACGATTTCGAATTCTAAGTCTGCACTCTAATAGATATTCCATAAACAAATAGATATGCATCAATTAAATACATTATCATGCAAATATGCTCAATGAAATAATATATAAAATTAATACACATGTCGGCGTTGTCATAGTCTCTCCCCCTTAGGAAGTTTGGTCCTCCAAACTTGAGTTACCTTCATTCGAAAACAACTTTGGATAGCATTGTCTTATTTCATCCTCATTTCCCCTTTGTAGCTTCCTTTCCATAGTGTTCTTTCCATTCAACTTTCACTATAGAAATTGATTTGTTCCTCAACTGCTTGACTTGTCGATCAATAATCTGAATTGGCTTTTCTTCATAGATCATGTCATCATCAAGTGCCATTTTGTGATAATCTATTACATGGAATGGCGCTCTAAGATAACTGCAGAGCATTAGCACATGAAACACATTATGTATCTGTTCTATTCCCGGTGCTAAAGCTATTCGATAAACAACGGGGCTAAGCCTTTCTAGAATTTGGAACGGTCTAATGCAATGTGGAGTCAACTTCCCTTTGTTGCCAAATCTTGTTTGCCGTTTCGTTGACGTTACTCTGATGAACAAATGATCTCCCACTTCATATTCGAAATCCCTCATTCTCTTATCCGTATAGCTTTTATGTCGGCTCTGAGCAGTCTTAAGTCTTTATTAAATGCTCTTTTATCTTCTCAATTGTTTCTTCTTCAAGTTCATACCCATATAAAGCCCTATCATTAACCTCATTCCAACAAACCGGAGACCTACACTTGCTCCCAAACAATGCCTCATATGGTGCCATCCCGATACCAGCGTGGGAACTGTTATTATAACAAACACATTATATGAACACATATACATATACACATTTACAAAAGTTATCTCATTTTGATATTCAAATGCAAATGAAAACAGTCCTTAAGTCTTTTCTGGACACCTTATTGCTCAATGGACGAGTGACTGGGATATAACTTGTGCTCTGATACAAAATTGTCACGACCCGAACACGCCCCTAGAGGTTTAGGCTACGGCCGGGCAGTAATCCTAGATTGCTTGGCCTTAAAGACAAAACTGATAATTAATAATAACAAACGGGGCACTGCGAAAGCAATATTCAAACATAATTGTGTCCATCAAGCAATGCATATATGAAAATTTCATGACATTAAAAACTTGAGCGTTCTTACGTAGATACAAGCATATAGACATATCACCACATCGTTAACATTCATACAAACATCCATACACAGCAAGTTTCCAAATAAAAAAAGAAAAACAAAACTAAAGGTTGACACCGCTCGGCTCCTCTTAAGTCCAAGCACGCCCCATCACGGAGGCACTCCAAAATGGCTGCACAAAAGGGGGACTCCTAAGGTTACTCTAGACTTGACATTCCATTTGCTCACCTACACATAGATAGGGAAAGTGAGTGAGCTATAAAACCTAGTGTGTAATATCAATATAAAGAGATTAAATGAATGATGTCTATCATAATACAAAATCATATCATATGAATTTCAAAGCAAAGCATAATTAAGTACTTGTTGTATCAA